GGGGGGGGGGGGGGGAGTGGCATTCGGGAGCAGCATGGGCGGTCAGGGCCGAGGCTAGGATCATGGGGCAGTGATGGTGTGGGACCAGGGCAGAGCCGTGATTCGCTGCCTGCATGTCCCTGAGGTGGCACCTGTTGCTTTAGATTTTCTGCTTAGCAGCACTTCTGCAGCTTGTTCCAGGCCCCTTGGAAATGGCCACGGCTGTCAACATGGGACAGTTCAGGGGTCTGTAGGAGAGACTTAGGGGGATGGGAGTAACTGTGGAGGCGGGGCAGGTTGAAGGTCTGGGGGTAACTGTTGGGGAGCAGTTGAGTGGGCTGCGGGTAATGGGCAACTGCAGGGATGTCCAGGGGGTGGGGGGGGGGGGGGGGGGGGGTTAAAGGGCGTAACGGGTGGGGGGCTGGCAGAGCAGCTAGAGAGCAGTATGGGGCTGGAGGCAGCTTGGCAGGCAAGGGGCCCACAGTAACCCTTCCCTTTGTGTCACTGCAGGAAGAGATGGACCTGAAGGTGCTGCAGTTCAAGAACAAGAAGCTGGCGGAGCGGTTGGAGCAGCGGCAGGCCTGTGAAGATGATCTGCGCGAGCGCATTGAGAAGCTGGAGAAACGTCAGGCTACTGATGACGCCACCCTGCTGATCGTGCATCGCTACTGGGGCCAGGTACCCCCCCCCCTCCCCCCAGGATCCTTGTCTTGGGGTTGTGGGGGGCTGTATCTAGGCCCAGACGCCTGGGTTTTGTTACGCCCCCACGGTGCTAAAGGGTAGCCAAAGCATAATCAACTCGGAGTTTAATGTGGAATACATCTCTCATAATTCAGCTTAACTAAAATCTAACCTTATTAACACAGAGAGAGACAGAAACATTTAGTCTCACCCAATCCCAGATGTTACTCTGCTTCACAGAAAAAGTGGCCAGTCAGTTCATCTGTGGGTAGTGGCTGTTTTTCAGTCCAGGTGTTGGACAATGACATACACCCAACTTCCTTGTTTCCACCCTTTTATGCTTTTTCTTTTGCCAACTCTGCATTTCTGGGTACTGTTGATTGGTGTCTTTGTGATCATCATACTGGTCATGTCCTTATATCCTATCAGTGTGTTTCTTTGCTCTAACCACACCATCACACGCTCACATTTTCATTTGGTCTTTTACTGGTGGCTTAATTTGGGCATGCCCAGGACTCCTTATTTGGTCTAGCCCTTAAAACCAGAAATTCCAAGGGCTCTGCAATTGGGCAGTGACCAATTGGTCCCCTCTTATAGCCAAGGATACTGGTTTTCCCTGATTAAAAAAAAAAAAGTCTCAGATTCTCTGATTAAAAAAAATTGCAGGTTCTCTGATTAAAAAACCCGGCCAATGGTCTGATTATAAACCTGCCCATTCTCTGATAAAAATCGTCTATTCTCTGATTAAAAACCCACCTATTCTAATATAATAAGAGCCTCTGTCTGTCTGTCCATAATGTTCTGGGCCAACTGCACATATGCTGCCAAGAAGTTGCACACTGCTAGGCTTCAAGGGCCCGGAGCATTCTGGACAGAGGGAGCTGGCGCACTGCCCTCCCCCCAGCAACAGCTGGCAGGGAGTGGTGCTGGTGGGGAAGAGGGGAGCAGGAAGGAAAAGGGGGGTGGGTTTCCAGTGGCAGTGCTGCCCCCCATCACTGCCCCCACCTCTGCTGTAGCCCCCTGGTGGCAACTGAGTGCAAACTTTCTCCCCCCTCCCCATTCCTGGGAGGCAGCAGGGGTGGTGGGTGGCAGTGCTCCATCCCCGCCTACCCCTCTCCCCTGTCATTCTTGATGGGCAATTGGCTAGTTCTCTGAATAAAAATAGCATATTCTGCGATTGGGTTCTTTCAGGAGACAGCATAGAGGGATGTATCGGGCCCTGGACGCCTGGGTTCTCTGGGCTGAGAGGCTCGAAGCCTGGACACCTGGGTTCTCTGGGGGGTGGGAGCAGGGGGGGCTGGCAGCTCGGATGCCTGGGTTCTCTGGGGAGTGGGGGGGCTGGGGGATGAGAGCAGGGGTGGTGGGGAGCCCAGGTGCCTGGGTTCCCTGACTCCCCCTGCCTCCCCGCCCCCAGCTGGACGAAAACGTGCAGGGGCTGCTGCGGCGCTGCGATGGGGACGGGATCCCTCCTGGCCCGGCTGAGCCTGTGGCCCCCACCCCCGAGGAACCCAGGCCTGAGCTCCCGGGGACCGAACTGGAGCCTGCCCCAGCCCCCGAGCCTGAGGGGCCTGACCGGAGAGGTGGGTGGGGCGGGGCTTGGGGTAAAGGAGGTATGGGTGGGATGTGCTGGGGGTGTGACCTAGTCAGAGTGGGTAGAGCTGAAGCAGCTGTGGGGGCTTAGGCAGAGTAGGTGGAGCCTATGGAGATGTTGGGGTTGGCTATGGGGTGTGACTGGAGGGGCAGGGCCTAATCAGTCTGGGTACAACCTAAACTGTGATAGGGTGGCAAAGGTGCATAGGCGGGACTTAGTAGATATGGGCGGGCCCTGCACAGCTATGCGGGGGTCTCTAATGGTATGACTGGGATCAGTTTGGGTGGGTGGGGCTTGGGGGCTGGCCTGGGTAGTAGGGGCCTAACCATCTATGGATAGGATTTGGCTAAATTGGTGGGGTTTAGCAGCCATGTGCATGCATTAGTAGGTGTGGGTCTGGCCCAGCAAGCTATGGGTAGGATTAGGCTGGATGGGTGAGGTTTAGGATCCGTGGGAGGGGTTTAGGATTCATGGGTGGGCTTTAGGAGCTGTGGGTGTGGCCTGCCTCCTCCCAGCACCCCCTGTCCATCCCGCAGGTCCTGCCGTGTGGGCTGGGGGCCCCCTGACAGGGCCGGCACTGGCCTTCGTGGCAGCGCTGGGGGCCAGTGGGCGGGAAGAGGTTGAGCTGCAGCTGCAGGGCCGTGTGGCCTTCTCCAAGGCTGCCGTGTCCCGCCTTGTGGCCAGCGCTGATACTGCCCACCGCCGCCTGCAGGAGCTGTGCCAGCGCATCCAGGCCTGCGGTGAGACCCCCCTGCTTGGAGACTGGGGTTCCCTGGGGTGGGGGGCTTGGGAGCCTGGGTGTCTGGGTTCGCTGGGAGTCCAGACACTGGGGTCCTATGGGAGTGGGCAAGCTGGGAACCTGGATTCCTGGGTTTTCTGGAGTAGGATGGGCTGGAAGTCCAGACCCATGGGTTCTCTGGGAGGGGTGGGATCTGGGGGACAAGACACGGGGAAGCTGGGAGCCCGGACGCCTGGGTTCTCAGACCCACCCCTTCTCCCCCTTCCCAGAGGAGTTGGAGCCGCCAGATGAGGGGCCAAAAAGCTCGAACCAGGACCTGATGAAGGAGAACCGGCGCCTGCAGGACCTGACCATGCAGCTGCAGGAGAAGCACCACCGCATCTCGCTGGAGGTGGGCCCTCGCGCCCATTCTCCACCCCAGAGCTGGCCACGTCTCGGCTGTACCCCAGGGGCCCCGTTCTGGGGTCTAGCTCACCCTGCCCCCCGCCTTTCCCCGGCAGTACGCGGAGCTGCAGGACAAGGTGATGTCCTCGGAGACCAAGGTGCTAGAGATGGAGACCACGGTGGAGGACCTGCAGTGGGACATTGAAAAGCTACGCAAGCGGGAGCAGAAGCTCAACAAGCACCTGGCTGAGGCCTTGGAGCAGGTGTGTGTGTGGGCGGGGTCCCTTCCCCTGGACACCTGGATTCCCCAGGAGGGCGGATGGGGAGCAGTGGGAGCTGGAAGCCCACATGCCTGGGTTCCCTACCAGGGGGGTGGGGGAAGCTTGGGAGCATTGGGGGCTGCATGGTTGGAACCCAGTTGTGTGGGTGGGGGGAAATCAGGGGGCAGTGAGTCTGACCCCTGGGTTCATGGCTGGGGGTGGGGGCGGTTTGTGGCCCTGTGCCCGGGAGACTCGCGGCTGCAGGGTATTGCAGGGAGTGACCCCAGCCCCCTGCCACAGCTGAGGTCGGGTCAGGGGGGTGGGGGGGAGGCTCTGTCCACTCATGCCCATGTCTTCCCCCTCCCCCCCCAGCTGAACTCAGGTTACTACGCCTCAGGCAGCTCTGGTGGCTTTCAGGGTGGGCAGATCACCCTCAGCATGCAGAAGGTATGGGGATGGTGGAGCAGGTTGTGGGGGGGTGTCTGTGGGATGGGG